TACAGACCTGTACCTCTGAAACAAATAATACATTATATGTTAAAAAAAAAAAAAGAAGATAGTAGGAAGGGAAAAATGAAGGGGGGGAAATTGGAGAGGGAGATGAACCATGAGACTATGGACTCTGAGAAACAAACTGAGAGTTCTAGAGGGGAGGGGGGTGGGGGGATAGGTTAGCCTGGTGATGGGTATTAAAGAGGGCATGTGTTGAATGGAGCACTGGGTGTTATATGCAAACAATGAATCGTGGAACACTACATCAAAAACTAATGATGTAATGTATGGTGATTAACATAACATAATAAAATAAAATAAAAATTCAGTCAACTCCAAATTCTTCAATAAAATTTTGCTTCACTAATATTGCCAAGTTATTCAAGTGCTTTATTACCTGTCTAAATTTCATTCTTCTTCTTAACATCATACAACTTTACAGTGAGTAGTTTAACGTAAGTGGGTTTCATCTCCTCAATTAAATTATATGATCTTTGGGTAAAGGCACCATATCTTATGCTCTATTTGTATTCATCTGGGCCTTTTCATCCTATTGGACACAAAATTGTACTGGCAATGTTTGTGATAGTGAATCATATCAAAATAATTTTATTCTCTTTCTAGGAAATTTGTTTGTGATTGTATTTGTCAGTTACTTTGGATCCAAACTACACAGACCAAAGATAATTGGAATTGGTTGCTTCATTATGGGAACTGGAAGTATTTTGACTGCTTTACCACATTTCTTTATGGGATAGTAAGTGTTAAACAGTTCTATGTCATTAATTATCATTTAATTGTAAGTTAATGGTAAAATTTCAATTTTTTTCTTTTAAATAAGCAGTCATCTTTTAGAAGAATACCACTAAGCATGTGTAGAAATGAAGTATATTTTCTATGTTATAAGTAACTTATTGCTTTATCAGCCATGGCTTTCATTGACTTTGAGATATGAGTAGCACAAAGTATACAGTTTCATAGGAAATAAATGAACTTTTTATGACTTTTTGGTATAACATTTACATCATGTCTTTGCCTACAAGATTTTATTTATATTCAATAAAAGTTCATCATCTGACCCACTACCATTTCCATTGAGAGTATTCTTCTTAGGGTCATGGTATAGTTATAATTAGAGTCAGATACTAATGACAGAAAACTTAAAATAGTGATAGCTTAAATAAGATACAAGCTTATTTTCCACATAAAAAAATTAATGTAGCCAGACCAGGCATGATAGATTCTTGCTTCTTTTTATTGTATTGCTCTGCCTTGCATGGCCTCAACCTCATGTTCCAAATTGTGGCAATGTTGTTCCACGCAACAAGAAAAAAGAAGGGAAGAAGAAAAGAAGAAACAGTGCATGCTGGCTGGGGCTTAAGATATATTTTCAGAAGTATAACACTTCTAACTTCACAGTGGCCAGAACTTTGTTACATCTCACATTCAGATGTAAAGACATTGGAATAACTAAACTTTATTCCAGATTGCCATGCTCCTAGCTAAAAATTCCATCTCCTATTACAATGGAAGGAGAGAAGAATGGCTATTGAGAGACAATGAACAGTTTCTGCTAAAGATATTAATTACTTATTCATTGCCAAAGCCAACAGTCATGCCTTTTGGTTACCATAGTAATTCCCTATCCCCCCTTTATTTGACCCTCATAAGTACTTTCTTCTTCCTGGTACTGATTCTTCTTATTTTCATTATATTATGTTCCTTGATTTATTTCCTATATTTGTGGCTTCTTCATCATATCCACCCTTTTATTCTGCTGCTGACACCATAATATCACTATCCTCTAAGCTCTCTCTTCAATCTTCTTCACTTCATTCTAGATTATTTGTATGAAGCATGTGCATTAAATGTAGCAATCACATACATTGACTTTTTCTTACACTTGGGATCTGTATAATCAGTCACCTCATGGGTATCGCCAGCCTAACATCCGATAAGAATTTCCCATCCAGGAGCACCTGGGTGCCTCAGTCAGTTGGGCGTCTGCCTTTGGCTCCAGTCGTGGTCCCGGGGTGCTGGAATCGAGCCCCGTGTCGGGCTCCCTGCTCAGCAGGGAGTCTGCTTCTCCCTCTCCCCTCTGCTCGTGCTCTCTCTCACTGTGTCTCTCTAATAAATGAATAAAGTCTTTAAAAAAATTTCCCATCCATATATTCAAAACTAAATTAATCACTGTGCCAAAACCAGCTCAGATTTTTCACATTCACTCTTTCAGTAATGATTCATTTAGCCAAAGGAACTCAAACCAAAGTCAAGGGGGCTCATTCTAGATTCTTTCATTATTTTGACACACATGACAGATGGTCACCAAATATTGCTTATTCTACCTCCTATCTGTCAAAGTTGTTTCCTTCTTTCATCCTATTGTCCCTAACCTCATTGAAGCTTCCCACATCTCTGGCCTGGACTTTTTGCCTTCAGTCTCAATTCCATTCTAACTCATATACTATACTAGAATATTCATTTTAAAACACAAATCTAATTATTTTACTCCTGCTGAAAACTCCCTATTTCCTATACAGTGTTTTTTCAAGCATCGGATTCTGAACCATGAGTGGACCAATATATCAATTCAGATTATTGAAATCAACAATTTTTGAGAGTATAGGATAGAATAAAATAGAAGAATATACAATGTGAGAACAAATATTGTTCTGTGAAACTTTTATTTCGATTGTACATATATTTGTGAATGTGTGTGCATATGTATATGTTGTGGGTGTGATGCAAAATGTATTTCTTACTGTTGGTCATAGTTGAAAATATTGAATGCCTCTTGCCTATGGATTAATATCTAAACTCATTTACATATATCTTCACTGTCTTTCTAGCTTCATCTAACACTGCTCTTCAGGGTGGAGAACCACATTCTAGGCTTGTAGTTTTCCAAATGTGCCATAATATGTTATATTTTTGCACATGGTGTTTCTATAGCCTTGAATAATTTTCCTTCTTTGTCTACCTTTTAAGCTCCTGTCAATTTTTAATTTTTATTTCACATGTCATCCTCATTGTGGATTCTGTAATCTACCACCTTTCCCACCTCCAAGGAAAGCTAATCTCCCCTTTTCCCTTGTGACAGCTCAGGACCTGTTATATTAAACTTATCACATGTTTTATGATACATGTTTATTTTATAGAGTACAAAATACCCTAAGTACAAAAGCTGTGTGTTTTATTTCTAGTTCTTTGGAGCTGAACATAATGTCTGGTCTGCAGTAGGCTGCCCTTGAAGCTCATAGGGTATCTCAGTATCTTTGGATCAGCATTTGTCCCTATTCTAGCTCCATCTCTGTTGTTATTAAGTTCTTCCTCATTGAACTGGAGGACTAGAATTTTTTAAAACTAAGTTTTGTAGAGTCAGACAGTTGAGTGTATGTGGGAGGGAGGAGGGTAGGAGTATCTAAGAAAGAAGACCAGACAGGTTATTGATAAAAAAATGTAGATGAGGGGCACCTGGGTGGCTCAGTTGGGTAAGCATGTGCCTTTGGCTCAGGTCATGATCCCAGGGTTTGGGGATCAGCTCCGCATCAGGCTGCTTGCTCAGCAGGGAGTCTGCTTCTCTCTCTCCTTCTGCCTCTCCCCATCCCCTCCCCTGGCTGTGCTCTCTTGTGGGCCCACACACATGTTCTCTCTCTCAAATAAATAAATAAAATCTTTTTTAAAATGCAGGTGAATTGGTGTGCTTTGTAGATTGACTTGTAAAATGCTGTTCTAAAATTCATTAAGTATTATCAGAAGGTTAACCAAGAAGTTTAGATTGTGACCACCTTTGAAGACAATTCAAATGGATGGATAGAAACAGTTAGCAGGGTTGTTTTATTTTTTTTTTAAACAAAACATGAAACCAAGGTATTTCATATCTTGAACAGAATATAAGCACTCCTAGAATGATAATCCACCTTTCCCGGGAAGTACTGAATAATATTTCTTAGTGGGCACTCCCATTTCATTTTTACCCATCACATCCCCTAAAATTCAGGCTGGGAAATTGACAAAAAGGATTCTGATCATTTAGAGAAGAAAATCGTGCAATTAAAGTGGGAAAATTCCTCTATTTCTGGGAAAGTGTAACTATTCAGTAGATAAGCAAAATTTTAAATGTGGTGATATTCTTACAGTTATAGGTACTCTAAAGAAACTCTTACTGATCCATCAGAAAATTTAACATCAAGCTTATCAACCTGTTCACTTGATCAGAATTTGTTACTCAATAGAACATCACCTGAAGTAGTAGAAAAAGGTAAGAACTGATAGTGTCACTAATAAATATTCAAACTGGTCAACTTAATTATATCTGTAAAAATGATTATGATATTTATTAGCAAAAGTGACTAAAAAACAAACAGGAAAATCATTTGCATCTTATGTATGTAAGAAAAAATAATGTTAATATATATTATATATAAAGAGCAATAAGAAAAGAATATTTCAGTAGGGAATTGGCTAAGAATATATATATTTAAATTAGGGAAGTGGTATAAATATGTAAAAAATGTAATTTTATGAAAAGCACTATGCTAATTAAAGATTTTTTACCTATTGAGACACAAATTATGGTTATAAATTTTTTTACCTTTAGATGTTTCTACCTATTAGAAAAACATTTAAAATAAGATTTTCTACCTATTTTTATCAAAAATAAAAAGAAATGACATAGAGGGAAAGACATTTTATGCATTGCTGGGAGTATATAAGTTTCTAACTCTTTGAAAGTACATTTTCAATATAGTAAAGTACAAAAATATGCATATATGCTTAAATCAGCAATTCTACTTTTAATGACTTAGGAAAATATCAGGAATGTGCACAAGGATTTATTTACAATTATAGCCATGGCATTCCTGTTTAATAGAATGGAAAGTTAGAAATATTTCATGAGGGACGCCTGGGTGGTTCAGCCGGTTAAGCTTCTGCCTTCAGCTCAGGTCATGATCCTGGAGTCCCCAGAATCTAGCCGCGTGGCAGGCTTCTTGCTCATCAGGGAGTCTGCAGTCTACCTCTCCCTCTGCCCCAATCCCACTCATGCTTGCTCTCTTTCTCTCAAATAAATAAGGTCTTAAAAAAATATTTCATGAGGAAAAAGTAAGGGATTGATTAAATAAAGTACAAAACTTTTATTCAGAACACCACCATTAAAATTCTGGTATAAAAGAAATCTTAAAAACATGGGGAAATTGACATAATATGGTGTTAAGTATAAAAGTACTTTATAATACGAGCTGGACATTTAAGTATATAATGTACATAAATATGCATATTTTTATGTGAACTAGAAATGTGGAAGATATAACAAACACAAGGAGCAACTCTCTGTGTTTGTTGGGACTATAGATAATTTAATTTTTACTTGTTTACTTTTGGCTTTTGTATATTTTCAAATTTTGTAGCATGAATATGAATCATTCTTATAATTAGAAAAAAGCAAAAAATCTTAAATGAAATAATTAAGGAGTTAAAGTAGTTGAGTTTCTAATAGGAATGCTAAAATTAATATTTAAAATAAAACACTATCTTGTCTACATAGGTTGTGAAAAGGAATCTGGGTCATATATATGGATATATGTACTCCTGGGTAATATGCTCCGTGGAATTGGGGAAACCCCCATAGTACCCTTGGGGATTTCTTACATTGATGATTTTGCTGAAGAAGGACATTCTTCTTTTTATATAGGTAATGAACAGAAAATTAGATTTTATGACTACTTTCCTGGCTCCACTCCTGAAATAGTAGTGTTCCTACAATCATTCTTTTATTTATTAAAAAATATTTTTAGACATGTATAATGTTACTTTAAAAAATGTATTGCAAAAGAACCATGTATTCTTGGCATTTGATAAAATTGTTTTATAATATTTTCAGGTACTTTGCATGGACTATCAATGGTTGGTCCAATCATTGGCTTTATACAGGCATCTCTGTTTGCTAAAATGTATGTGGATATTGGATATGTAGATCTCAGTAAGTATAATCAGAACAAGGTAACATAATAATGTTTTTCAAGTATAGGACACCATTTTTCCAAATATTGAATTAATCGCTCAGCATCAGGGAAATCCAAATCAAAACCTCAATAAGATATCACCTCACACTAATCAGAATGGCTAAAATTAACAAGTCAGGAAACGACAGATGTTCGCAGGGATGTGGAGAAAGGGGAACCCTCCTACACTGTTGGTGGGAATGCAAGCTGGTGCAGCCACTCTGGAAAACAGTATGGAGGTTCCTCAAAAAGTTGAAAATAGAGCTACCATATGACCCAGCAATTGCACTACTTGGTATTTACCCCAAAGATACAAATATAGGGATCCAAAGGGGTACGTGCACCCCGATTTTTATAGCAGCAATGACCACAATAGCCAAACTGTGGAAAGAGCCAAGATGTCCATTGAAAGATGAATGGATAAAGAAGATGTGGTATATATATATATATATATATATATATATATACACACACACACACACACACACACACACACACACACACACACACACAATGGAGTATTATGCAGCCATCAAAAGGAATGAAATCTTGCCATTTGCAATGACGTGGATGGAACTGGAGGGTGTTATGCTGCGTGAAATAAGTCAATCAGAGAAAGACATGTATCATATGACCTCACTGATATGAGGAATTCTTAATCTCAGGAAACAAACTGAGGGTTGCTGGAGTGGGGGGGTGGGAGGGATGGGGCAGCTGGGTGATGGACATTGGGGAGGGTATGTGCTATGGTGAGCGCTGTGAATTGTGCAGGACTGTTGAGTCACAGATCTGTACCTTTGAAACAAATAATACATTATATGTTAAAAAAAAAAAGAAGAAGAAGAAGAAGATAGCAGGAGCGGAAGAATGAAGGGGAGGAAATCGGAGGGGGAGATGAACCATGAGAGACTATGGACTCTGAAAAACAAACTGAGGGTTCTAGAGGGGAGGGAGGTGGGAGGATGGGTTAACCTGCTGATGGGTATTAAAGAGGGCACGTTCTGCATGGAGCACTGGGTGTTATATGCAAATAATGAATCATGGAACACCACATCAAAAACTAATGTATGGTGATTAACATAACATAATAATAAAAATTAATTAATTAAAAAGAAAAGGATTCACTTTTTCAATAGTCTTTTGCTGAATATTTGTGTGATGAAGTGTGAACAAAATAAAAAAAATAGCATCTCAGAATTGATGTAATATAGTTTACTTTCTTCATCTATGAAGGACAGCAATCATTATTGCTCAAAATTTATTGCATTTCAAAATGATTTTTTGACTGACTGCTTCTAATTCTTTATTCTAGGCAATATCAGAATAACTCCTAAGGACTCTCGCTGGGTTGGTGCTTGGTGGCTTGGTTTCCTTGTGGCTGGAATATTATCTATTATGTCTTCCATACCATTCTTTTTCCTGCCCAAAAATCTGGATAAATCACAGAAAGAAACATCTTTATATTTGCTCAAAACAAATGAGGAAAGGACTCAAATGGCTAATGTGACCAACCATGGGCAAAATGTTAGTGAAAATATTACTGGTAAGTATTCACATTTATAGTCAATTTGGAATTATTAATTTCAGTGAAGATAGATGAAACTATTTCTTAGTTGCCATTGGATAGAAAGCTTAGTTCTGACCATATCTGATGGAAACCTTTAGAGATCTATAGAGAGATATTTCAAAGTCCATGTCATCCCTCTCTAAATAACCACCTCTGGTTCTGTCTTGCTAGACTCAGATACTTACTCCTATTTTTTTCTAAGAAACTCCTTCCACTTTTAACATCCATTACAGTTGGTTAACCTGATTACAGACCCAGATCACAAAATTCTTGTCACAAACAGAAGTTATGAATTTCTTACACACCTGTTCATAGGCACAAGTTGTTGTACTATTATTGTCATGTCACCTGAGACACAACATTATTATTCTCTTCCTTTCCTTGCACCATAAGAAAAGTGATTTATAATACTGCCAAATTTGCTGATACAGTATTTTATAGTAGAAAGACTACCAGGAAACAGATCTGAGTCCTGGTACTAAATTAAACTTTATAATTTTTTTAACTTTAGTCTTCTCATTTCTGTGAACTTTGGATTATACTGTCTCCTAAATTTTTACTTAATAATTTTATTATTAACATAACAATTAATATTAAGTGCTAACAAATAAGAGACATTGCATGTCTATTCACTTTGGTTTCTTGAGCACCTAGCATAGTGCCTGGGACCCAGTTGAAAACCAAATATTTGTTGAATGAATGAATAAATGAATTAATGATATATGTAGTTGTATGGTAGAGTGATAAGAATAACCAAATATGAAGTGAACTGAGCAAGCTGCAAAACAGCATGTATGTATGATTTCATTTTGCGGTAAAATAAACTGAGTAGATACTAATGTACATATGGAAAAATGACGGAAAAAAATATAAAAAACTGTTGACAGTAGGATTGTAGGGTACTCTGACTTTCTGTGTTATATGTTTTGGTAATTTTCAGTCTTCTATAACTTTTATTACACTTATAAAATTAAGATATTAACATATATTTAAGCTGTATTATAATATCTTATTTTTATATTTTTATAGGTTTTCTCCAGTCCTTGAAATGCATCCTTACCAATCCCCTATATGTTATATTACAGTGTTTGTCATTAGTGCTAAGCAGCAGCCATATTGGTGTTATTACTTATGTCTTCAAATATATAGAGCAACAGTATGGTCGCTCAGCATCTGAGGCTAACATTTTGCTTGGTAAGACACATTATTTATATTTGTTTGATAAGCCATATACTACCAACTAATTGAGTTTCAAGTGACATTTTGGTGTGAAGGTAATTTTATATTTTAGTAAATATAATTTCCAATTGTTCTCTTGCAAGTTTTATCAAATTTGTTGATCTCATATCATCATTGCTCTGCATCTCATGTTATTTTTGAGAAGATGAATTTCTAAAAGAAAGTTGTGTGCGAATGGAACATTTAGATATAGTATCTGCATAATTGGATTTTATAATGTTGAGATCCTGAGACAAATCCTTTTGTAATTTAATCATTATAATTTCATAATTCATGCACTTTGAATCAGAACTCAGCTACTTACAAAAAAATAGGACAAAAGAAAAATCGACTTAAACATATCATTGATATCTACGTAATTCAGACAAGTGTCATATTTTATTTTATTTATTTATTTTTAAAGATTTTATTTATTTATTTGACACAGAGATAGCGAGGGCAGGAACACAAGCAGGGGAGTGGGAGAGGGAGAAACAGGCTTCCTGCCGAGCAGGGAGCGCAATGTGGGGCTTGATCCCAGGACCCTGGGATCATGACCTGAGCTGAAGGCAGACACTTAATGACTGAGCCACCCAGGCGCCCCACAAGTATCATATTTTAGGAGTTACTTTGTTATATTATCTTTTTCCGGTGACATATTAAATCTTGCTTAATGAAGAAAAGGTTTTCTTATATTATTCTTCCCTCACCCCCAGTATAACATGAGATTCTTAAGAGCAGTACATTACCCTGTACAGTGCTCAATGCATTGTAGAAACTCAGTAAATATTTGATAAATTAAACTGAATTTATCAAGTGGTATGTGAGTAGGTCATAAGTTAAGAAAATAATAATTCAGTTAGATACTTTTATTGAGCCTAAGATAAAAATTTAAACTTTGAGAGTCAAGTTTGACTTCCAATCAGGTTCCCAGCCTGAATTTGTTGTTGCTGTTGTTAGAGGGATCTTTACCTTTAATAACTCTTGTAGGACAATGACATGGAAAAATTTTACCAGGGGTCAATCATTTTTAATACCATCTTTAAGCCTGTTTATCATCACAGGGTATAGGTATGTTTGGATAAAGAAGAGATATTAATTCTAGTGGTTAATTTTAAAGTGATGGGCAAATTTGGAATGAGTTTTTAAGGATTAGAACTCTTCATTTTGAGGGAAATGTAAAGGATTTTATTTTTTTATCTTTTTTTACTGTGTTCAATTAGCCAACATATAGTACATCATTAGTTTTTGATGTAGTGTTCAGCGTGTAAAGGATTTTAGATGGTAGGATGCAAGTCTTATAGGCAGGAAGATGATATTTTATTGTTTTCCAGAGGAAAAAAGTCCCTCATAAAAATCATCGATTGAAACATTCAAATATCCTCAGTCACTGACTTCTGCCATTGGGGAACCCAAATCCTCAGCACTGGCATTAAGAAATTATTTCCATTTCTCCCATGTGGTACACTGGTTTCCTACCTCCATCCAGGGCTGTTAGCTTGCTACTTAAGGAATAAGATGGGATGAATTTGTTTGATGCATTCTGTGTTTCCTTTATAAAGATATTTCAGAATAACCATATTTATATAATCACAATTTTTTTCTCTTCTTTATTTCTAGGAAGCTTAACCTTACCAACTATTGCAACTGGAATATTTATAGGAGGATATATCATTAAAAAATTCAAACTTACCTTGCTTGGAATGGCCAAATTATCATTTTATACCAATGTATTGGCCTTCATATTTCAACTGTTAAATTTTGCATTAATTTGTGAAAACAGATCAGTTGCTGGCCTAACTTTGACCTATGATGGGTTTGTATATATCAGTATATTAGTTACAAAATGTATGAACTATCAAATGTAAAAGACTATAAGGAAAACAGGGCATATAGCAATCTTAGCTAAACTTTTCTTTTAATTGAGAGAAATTTCAATTTACAAAATCTTAAAACGTCTACTTCCTAAGATCTCAAAAAATTCTCCTTTTATTCCTAAAAGTAAACCTATATAAGTTGTAATAATAATAGTTATCCTTTATGGGGTACCTACAATGACAGACAGGTACTTTTACCTTCATTCTATAGATAGGAAAAGTAGGGCTTAGAGAGATACACAGATTACGTGACTAGCAATGTTAAGATTCTGACTTAAATTGGGAGGTTTAGACTCCAAAATTTTAGTCTTTTTTTTTTAAATTTATTGTTATGTTAATTAACATACAGTACATCATTAGTTTTTAATGTAGTGTTGCATGATTCATTGTTTGTGCATAATACCCAGTGCTCCATGCAGAACGTGCCCTCTTTAATACCCATCACCAGGCTAACCCATCCCCCCGCCCCCCTCCCCTCTAGAACCCTCAGTTTGTTTTTCAGAGTCCATAGTCTCTCATGGTTCATCTCCCCATCCGATTTCCCCCCTTCATTCTTCCCCTCCTGTTATCACCCTCTTTTTTTTTTCTTAACATATATTGCATTATTTTTTTCAGAGGCACAGATCTGTGATTCAACAGTCTTGCACAATTCACAGCACTCACCATAGCCCATACCCTCCCCAATGTCTATCACCCAGCCACCCCATCCCTCTCACCTCCCCCCACTCTAGCAACCCTCAGTTCGTTTCCTGAGATTAAGAATTCCTCATATCAGTATAACATTTCCCAAAAGTGACTGAGCAATTTTTATCTACCATTAATTTTAATGGTTAACAACTACATTTATAAGAAAACACTTCTTATATTGTACTGAATTCTCCTCTTCTGCAAGCTAATGCTATTTATACTGTTAATATTGTTATTAGCAGTAGAGTTAATAAATATCCTATGTAATTGTATGTTAGACCATAGAAAACCTTTACTTTGTATTATTATCAAGTATTGTGAAGTATTCCTAGTACTATAGTTCTACCCCAAATTAGGGGCAGGATTCTGGTACAGATTTCTTATCATCTCTTGAATATAGCCAATAATTTTAAGCTTAGGAAGGTTCACATTCAGACAACAAGGAAAGATCCTTGGATTACAGTTGAGTAACTATGATACCTAGTGCTGCTTATTGTTGGCTCTGAGCATTTATACTCTGGATCCTTTGAGATGTCAGTTTGAACTTGTCAATTTTCCCCACATTTCTTTATGTAAACACCATCCTATTTTGGAGACCTGTCAACCTAGTCTTTAATTATCTCTCAGCTTTCTCCTAATCCTGACTGTTAGTAATTACTCCTATCCACCATTATCCACTCCAGTAAATACAGAATCTTAGAACGTTGAACTTTTGAGGTAAAAGCACCTTAAAGATCATGAAGCCCAAACCCCTTTTTTCCTCTTCATTTATTAGTTGAGAACCAGGGGAAGTGTGACTTATCTGAAGTCATACAGTGACTCCAAAGATCACATCAGTAGTTCCAAGGGCTCCCAAGTTGTCAGACATGCTTTAGAGTGGCTTTAGAGCCAGTTCCATAAAACAAGTATAATAACGGTGCCATCTATTCAAAAGAAAGCAGCTAGAGTTGTATAAGATTCTCTCCATTCAGTAAAATTTTACTGAGTGCTATTTAAAGGTCAAAAAGATTTATGAGATAGATCACTGCCTTCATGAAACTCATAGTTTAATGATAGCAAATTACAGAATCGATGTATTTAGCATTTATGAAGTGTTAGTAACAAGAATAAGTTTTTAAAGTATAAATTAGTACAGAGGTTCTCAGAATGTGATCTGAGGGTCTATAGGGGTCCCTGAGACCTTATTGAAGGCTCAGCACATTCTAAATTATTTTTATAATAATACCAGGATGGTATTTGCCTTTTTCATTCTTATTTTCTTGTGAGTGTATAGCGATATTTTCTAAGGCTACAATAATATGATGATAACATCAGTCTGGTGGCTAATGATATGTGTTTGTGTCTTCTCATGTATTAAAAAAAATTTTTTTTTGAGACAGAGAACATGAGTGGGGTGGGGGGCAGAGGGAGAGAGAATCTCAAGCAGACTCCCGCTGAGCTCAGAGCCCAACATGGGGCTCAATCTCACAACCCTGAGATCATGACCTGAACTGAAATCAAGAGTCGGACACTTAAATGACTGCACCACCCAGGCACCCCGTGTATTAAAATTTTTTACTATTAATTTCTGATTATATAGCTATCAATGTCAACATATATAACCCACTTGGACAAAAAAAACCTTTGAGATCCTCAATACTTTTAAGAGTATGAAGGGCTACTGAGAACAAAATTTTGAGAACTGCCATATGAATTTTTCCCCCAATAGCCCTATGCGGTTGAATGTTATTATCTATGACTTACAAGTGGCAAAGCTGATTTTAGGAAGAGTAGTCACAACACTCTGAAGTGGCAGAACTAATGTGAGCTCAGGAGTATCTGATGGCAATGTCTGGATTTGGTCATTAATCATTATGTTTAACCTCTCCCAGTTGTATGTTCCCAAGCAGAATTAGGTATTAGGTGCACTTTAGTAAAATTATTGGTAATAGAATTTCTGAATTTCTGAGTCTACTTCTTCATGTAAATTACTTCCTTATTCAAATATAATTTATCCTCAATTATTATCAAGATTTTTACAAAATAATTTTAATCTATAAGCAGAAAATTAATTATACAAATAATCCATTTTTTTAATTTTAGCCATATTATAAGATTATATTTTACAAATATAGCCATGTTTTACAGTCAATCATTATAAAGTATGTTGTCATTTCATTTAAAAAGTGTATGGAGTTTTTCTAATCTTTGTCAACTGATTTTATTATTCTTGATTTAAAAAAAAATTGATCCTCAGGGGTTCTGAAATTTTTATGTAGTTGAAATATAGATCTAAAAAGTCAAACTGAATAACACAGATTCATGGGACTTTACAGTAAGCTGGGAAGAACTTTAGTCTATCACCTTACTGAAGAGAAACTGAGTCTCAGAAAAATGAAGTGACTTGTTTAATGAGTAATTTCTTGGTAGAATCACAAGGACCTCTTATATAAGTCTTATGGATCCTCTTTCTTTATGTCTGGGTAAAGATGGGAGGTGTTAAGTTAATAAACACTATATTAAAAAATGCCATTTTGACAACATCACTCATCAAATTTTACTGTCTTATTAAAGCCCAACTGTTTTCCTTATTTCTCTCCTCCCCTCATCCCTCCCTCTTCTTCTCCCTCCTATCCTAATGCCCTCCCACTTTTCCTCCTTTCTCTTGGCTTCCCTTTCCTATGCTCCCTTTCTTTTTCTTTTCTCCTCTCTTCCCTCCTTCTTCTCTCTCTCTCTTTTTGATATGTGTCTACCTTATATTTCCAGGAATAATCCAGTGACATCTCATATAAACGTACCACTTTCTTATTGCAACTCAGACTGCAATTGTGATGAAAATCACTGGGAACCAGTCTGTGGAGACAATGGAATAACTTACATGTCACCTTGTCTAGCAGGATGCAAATCTTCAAATGGCAATAAAACATCTATGGTGAGTATTCATTTTTACTTTCTCTTCTCGATCAATATTGCATATTTGATTTAACAATTACTTATCAAATCTTTCTATAAGTAAGGTCTCTAGTAAAAAGAGAATAGAAAAAGACTCCTAATATTCTCTGTCATTGTGTTGGTTGTGAAGTTGTGTAAATGAAAGCCTCACATAAAATCCTGCTTGAAACACAAATAGGTTTTTCTGTTGCTTAAATCTCATTTGAGATTACTCCCACTTTTCCTCCTTGAGTTTATGAGAACATGACTTTCTGGAACTTAAATGCATTTAGAATCCTTAGGAATCACTGCATTTTACTAATTAGATTAAATTAGAGATACTTTACCCTTTAGAAATTAGGGGAAAGTCCTGATCCAACCACTTGTCAGCACTCCCTTTGTTTCCAGGACAATAATCTATATGCAATTTTGCATATAGATTTCGACAAGTTTATCTTTAGGCTCACTACACTTTTGATTTTCCAGAAAATTAATCAAGGCTCCATGCTCACTTGATTGTCCAATTCTTGGCTTCCAACTTGATTTCCCCAAGAGTGGAACTTCTATCCAGGATAACTGCATCTTTTGCCTATCTATTCCTGATATTTTCCATAGAAATGCCATTTCCTTCTTCACTCAAAATATTCCCTTCCATGCAGACTATGGGTTCTTCCTAATTCCCTGAGTTTATTTCCAGTAACTGGGGATCAGGTATCATGTTCTCTATTTCACTTCCAATCTACTGAATATCTCACAAAGTTGGGGAGCCATATCCTGGGCCATTTTCCTATCACCAACATTAGCAGTATAATCAGCTATGATCATTGCTCTCTACCACACAGTTCTGTCTTTGATTTTCAAACTTTACTATCTTTTTCTGGTCCATAATCCTACTAATTGTATTGTTGAAGGGCACTGAGAACTTTGAAGAATAAAGAACCTGGATTCTTTGAAGTCAGGCCATAAATTTGCAGAAATGTGACCCAAGGACCATACTTAAAAACCCATATCTCATATTCATGGGTCTAGTGTCTTTCACTGATAGTGCCCCATTTAATCCATGGTCCCACTTGGCCCATTAGTGAAGGCCTGGAGGAGACATGATATGAGAATCCTAAGAGAGCTCTGTGTACATTTTTCTTAATACTGGCAATGACTATACCATTTGAGGACCACTATGGAGTTCTTTTACCAAATCCTTAGTAATAAAACATCCCTTCTTAATTGCTCAAAATAATGTTCTTGGGTTTATTGGTCAGTAGGCTTGATACATAAAGGATTCATCCATATTGTTCCTAGTTAAAAAGTAAAGCTTGATTATCAGATAAGTATGGATTCAAATTACTTCCTTCAGTAAATAAAGTACTAATAGGTTTAAGCTTCCCTTAAACCTTAGTTTAGCCTAGACTCAAAACAGATTTTATTAAAACCACCTATCTAAGTAAACTACTTGCCAAATTAAATCTCTAAAATCATTTGTTCCTAAGTTTTTCCCTTCTGTGGTCTACCCATTAGGGTATTCTGTTGTGTTGAACCTCTCTGGTAATAATAATAATAATATTATTATATATCATATATATATATATAAATATATATCCTATAATCTGTCATTATACTCTTGGATGTTGTGTTTGTGGGTCAAAGTAGGATTCTAGTACCACTGCCTAGCTCCTATTCCCCTAGACTCTGCCCTATTCTAATGAGTAGCTCTAGTGCCAGTTTTGCCCCCCACAAAACTATATTTTCTGAATTCTCTGAGTAACTCTTCCCTTTGCTTCCTGTTCCTGACACTTAGTAAGACTGTTAAAAAGAGTAACTAGGTTTTTTTATAGAAAGTAAAAATGAGTGGGAGAAAATTATTAAAAAGAATTTATATTAATGAGAAATTATATACAGAGTTTCAAACATTAATTTTTTCTATCCTTTCCTAATTTTTAATTTAGGAATAAATTAAATGTTAATAGTGAATTGCATTTTTTTGTCTAGAGAGGAATCCAGGAAACTATTTTGCCTTTCAACTATTAAACAACTGTATTTTCAGAATGCTTTCTTCAAACATTGTAAATATTTTAGCTTGAATGGATGAGACTTCTTTAAATATAATGAAATGTATTCATAGCCCAGTCATATCTTCTAAATATATTCTGCAATATTTCAAAAACTATTTTTTAGGTGTTTTATAACTGTAGTTGTGTGGAAGTAACTGGTGTCCAGAACAAAAATAATTCGGTGACTTTGGGTGAATGCCCAAGAGATAGTCAATGTACAAAAAAATTTTATATTTATTCACTGGTGCAAGTCTTGAATTATTTTTTCTCTTCATTGGGAAGCACCCCAACTGTCATGCTGATTTTTAAGTAAGTATGACTTTTTAAAAAGCATTTTTATGTATATTAGGCTATAAACACACCTAATAATGTACATATTTTCCATAACATATTTGGAACACAAATTTGTATTTTGTTACATTTTAATTTTCTAGGAATGTATTTACTTAGGATTATTGTGATACCACAATGTCATAATTAATGATAAAATTTCATACTTTCTCCTCTTACTAGAATTTTGTGACATATACTGATTGATAATTGCTTCAGTTGTGAAAAAAAAATCTCTGTTGTGATTCTATAAGAACTTCTAATTTTGAGATGCCTTATACCAGGATGGGCCTGTCAGAGTGAATCAACTATTGATTTCACTGAAAGAAAACATTTGGGAACCAGACTGTATAATATAACCAGTCTATAAAGTTCTAAAGCTTTTAATATACCCTTAAAATAGCTTTTGACCTGGTCTCTCAAATATCCTCATAGACAAGAAAAAGATACATGAGCAGAATTCTTTCCTTTCTTCACTGATTAGACAAATACTTAGACCATGCTTGAAGAACACTCTGGTGAATAAAACAGATGCAGTACCTGTTCTCATACAGTTTAGAGTATGACAGGAAAGACTGATGTAAGAAAAATAGACTTAAAATAAACACATAATTACAAATTGTCATTAGTGTTAGTAAGGAAATAGAGTGATATTAAAGAGAATAAAGAGGAAAACCTAATTTAGGATTGAGGTGAGGAGCTGTGAGGAAGAGGACTCAGAGACTTCTCAAAAAAAATCCACATTTAATCTAAAAGTCTAGAGAATAAGTTAACATTAGCAAAATGAAGAACTGTACAGAAAAAAGGTCTAGGTACCGATGCGTCAAGGCCAGAAAGAGCTGGAGTGTTTGAGAAGTGAAAAGAAACTGGCTGGTTGGAACATACTGAGTGAGAGGGCTATGACATAAGATAAGACTGGAGAGTTAGGAAGGGAGCAGATAACACAAGCCTTGTTGGTGAAGTTAATTATTCAGTTACCTAAAACCAAAAACATATAAAAACTTGCAGGTAGGTCTTAAAGACATGCATGTGTAAATATGGTGGTGTAGGTTAACATCTAAATTATATTTTTAAGACCTAGGTTGTTGACTACAAGTTCACTGTCAGCCAACAGCATGACATGGAAGGGAAAGAAAACAAGTGGGTTAAGCTTTGTTAAAATGAGTATACATGAGTAAACTGAGTCTACAGTTGTTCAATTCTACCCTGATCCAAAATCTTGTTAAATTATTTTTGCTAATTTATTCTACAGCTATATCTCCACCTTAATATAAAATGTTGTCTACTCAAAAAGAGGTCTTACATAATTGCATAATTGCCAAAGTACAGCTTCATTAACTGTCAGAAAAATCCTCTCTCAAAAAAGTATTAGCTTTATCTCAAAAAGTCTTAGCTTTTTAATTTAAAATCTTTTGCAGGGTGAAAGAGGGTTTTGGAGATCATTGTTTCATCATTAATGTCATTTATATGGTTAAGATAAACATTACCATTTGGCAAAAACATTTACTGATCTCCCACCAGCCTTTGATTTTATTGAAAGAAAACTTTCGTGAAACGGACTGTAGAATAAAAATATAAACCTCAGTCTATTAATGATTTTCCAATGCTTATATCATAAGGCTGTTATTAAAATTAGACTAAGCAGGGGTGATGATATTCACTCATTCAGTCTATTCATTTTGTGTGTCAGGCACAATTATAGGTGCTAAGGACAGAACTGTGAACAAAGTGACAAAGGTCCTGCTAGCTACCAGGGCAGTGAGGGATGGGGGACTGGATGGGTATAAGAGAAGGAACAGTAAATAAATAAGCAAGTAAATGGGTAAAATAGAAGTGTTAAGCATTAGGAAGAAAAATAAATCAGCTTAAGAATATAAGAGGGAGGCAAGTAAATTGTACTAATTCAGAAATTGTGCATTGGAAGTCATTTGATAAGAGACCTGAAAAAAAAATGAATGTACAAGCTACGCTGATATGGGGACAGGTGAAGAGCATGGTCCAGAAAATGTACACCCTGTGGGGCATGGTAACAACTTTGGAGTTTATTCTAATTGTATAGAGAAGCCAGCAGAGACATTTGAGCATTGGAATTATACAACTGACTTACCGATTAGAAGATCACTCTGGCTTTTGAGTGGAGAACAAGTTTTTGGGATGCAAGAATGGAAACAGGGAGAACAGAAGGCTATGATAGTTCTTCACAGGATGGGAGTTTGAGGGTGGTGATGGTAAAGGAAATAGAAAGTGTTACGAGTCTCAGTCTTCTGTTTTTAAGACCACGTCAATAGGATTTGCTGATAGATTGAATGTGGCATGTAAGAAAGAAAGTTTAAGGATGATCCCAAGGTTCTAGCCCAGCTTTGAGAAGATGGTGGTACTGCTGAACAAACTAGTGAAGACTAAGGAAGGGTAGTTTGGAGAAAGTGGAGAAGTAAGACTTTGTTCTATCCCTGTAAATCTGAGATGCCTATTGGAGAAATATTAGAGCTGGAGACATAAATTTTGGATCCATGGCCCTTTTGAGATCTTCTAAGGACTGAGTACAGATAGAAACAAGATTCCAGAATGAAGATCCAGGCATTCCAACTCCAGAACCAAGAGGAGGATGAGAATCCATTGAAGAAAACTGAGAAGGAGGTCCCATGAGGTTGGAGGAAAACCAAGAGGGTGGGTCATAGAAGTTAAGAGTTAGGAAGACATTGCCATTTGCAACGACATGGATGGAACTGGAGGGTGTTATGCTGAGTGAAATAAGTCAATCAGAGAAAGACATGTATCATATGACCTCACTGATATGAGGAATTCTTAATCTCAGGAAACAAACTGAGGGTTGCTGGAGTGGTGGGGGGTGGGAGGGATTGGGTGGCTGGGTGATAGACATTGGGGAGGGTATGTGTTATGGTGAGCACTGTGAATTGTACAAGACTGATGAATCACAGATCTGTAATTCTGAAACAAATAATGCAATATATGTTAAGAAAAAAAAAAGAAGAAGAAGATAGCAGGAGGGGAAGAATGAAGTGGAGTAAGTTGGAGGGGGAGATGAACCATTAGAGATGATGGACTCTGAAAAACAAACTGAGGGTTCTAGAGGGGAGGGGGTGGGGGGGTGGGTTAGCCTAGTGATGGGTATTAAAGAGGGCATGTTCTGCATGGAGCACTGGGTGTTATGCACAAACAATGAATAATGGAACACATCAAAAACTAATAATGTAATGTATGGTGATTAACATAACAATAAAAAATTATTAAAAAAAAGAGTTAAGAAGACATCACTGGATTTCATTATGTGTTGGTCACCGCTAGCCTCAACAAAAATAATGCATAAAGATAGGGGGAAAGAAAGGCTATTTTGCAAAGGATGCAAGAGAAAGTGCAAGAAAGGGAAGTGCAGATACCCAGTAGGAAAAATTCTTTATATTAGTAGTGTTATAAAAAGAAACAGACAAAAGGTATGGTAAGTTAGCAGGGGTGTGGCCTTAAGATTTCTGTTTATACTAGACATTGTAGTATGCTTGTGTGCTGATGAGAATTATCCAGTAGAGTTGAAGGAAATTGATAGTGTAGTTAAGAGTGGGAACAATTAAAGGAGGAGATTGAAAGGGATATGAACAGGTACACAGAGTTTACTCTGTAATGAAAGGGAATGTCATCTATGTGGGTAAAAATAAAATGATACACATGTAGCTTTAGTCATGCAAGAGTATTGAAATTCTGTTCTGATTGCTTCTACTTTTTCTGTTAGATAAAAAGCAAGGTAATCAGCTAAATGGGAGGAGGAAAAAAAGAAGAGGTTTGAGATGAGATCAGGAAATGGAAACTAGTCATCTTAAAGGCTGGGAGAATAAACTGGGAAAACAAACTAGTAAAATACAGTAGGATTGTACTGGAGGCCCTGAGGGTTTGTGCTTAAAATGAGCTTAGTCAGAATATTTGAATGATTTCCTCCAGCCAGCAGTTCTCTAGGTATAGGTGCAGAAAAGGCAGGGGTTGGATGAAAGCATTTTCGCTTGCCTGGGACAGTAAAGGATGGGAAGGACAGAAAAATCCAGGGAATATGAAAGGAATGATTATAAGGCGAGAGCATGGTGAGAAAAGTAAGGAAATGAAAATGGAGATTACCTGGGACAAAGTGGGGCGTGTCAAGGGTCTGAAAAGCCCTGTGGGGCTGCGGCTTGTTGGAGTTGGTTTATTGGAGAGAGTGAATTTAAAAGTTGAGAGGTGCTTCTGGTGAGGGAGTGCTCAAAACTGAGAATTAGGGAAGTGTGTACTTTATAGCACGACCAGGGGTAGGTGAGGGAAGAGGTCAGGAAACCTGGAGACCAGAGCACTGGAGGATGGTCTACCTGGATTATTATAATAACTAGGAAAAGTGGCAGATAGAGTTTTGGAAAAAAATGACAGAGAGCCTAGTACTAAAATTCCCAAGGAATGATGGGAGTGGTGATCAAGATACTAGCATCTGTAGTTACAGTATCTATAGATACCATAGCCAGGAGGTTAGGGAATGGTATATCACAATGGCACACCACTTGAGGGGAGTTAGAAATCTTTCAGAGGAGGCACTAGGGTCTGGAGGTGTTTAAAAAAAAAAAAAAAGAGCAAGAAGGACATCTACACTGAGACCCAGTAAGACTACAGAGAAAAAACAGCCCTTATTTGAAAGAGTTGCATGGAAAGAGAACCATCAGGAGGCAGCCAGGCTTTGTTAGAACAAGAAAGTGAAGGGGTTCCTAAGAACATAAGATCTAAGGATTTTGCTGGTAACAGGACAAAATGGAAGAGTTTGAGTGATATAAAAGGAGCAGGAGACTGGGTATGATTAAAGAATTATCTAAATTACATGGGGGTGAGAGCCCAGGGACTCAGGATTATGAAAACGGTGCTAAGAGAGGTATGACTTCTCCAAGTCATGCAGTCAATAAGAAACACCATTTATCTCTTTATTCAAGAAGAAGAACTAGCATGGAATATCCCAGGGGTCACTTAGCAAGTGTTTGTTGAATGACTAAATCTACTTATTTCTATGAACAAATACAGTCATCCAAACAGCTCAAGAAAAAACAACCACCACCACCTTTGTATCACTTAATCAAATATTTCCAGAAAAACAGGGTTTTTGAGACTCAGTCACCTCCCCCCCATCCTGCCACTCCTGCTGAATAATTCATTTCACGTGATATGTATTAGGCTATCACAGGGATGTCACAGAATGACATGGTTGTGTCATCATCTTATTGAACACAGAGAAATGGAATTATGGAAACAATTTCTAAGTGCAAGAGTGAGTTAATTTCTAAAAGAGAATACAAATGTGCTTGCTCCCTTTAAAATGACATTTGAAAACACTAGACACTAGAATACAAGTACCTTTTTTGACACTCCGGGTTATATTACATAGTTCATGGATCATATTAGTGAACTTTGTTGTTAGTAGCAATGGCAGAAATGATATGGTAAATGCGTTCTCATACCAAGACCTCAATAAAGGTATCTGCCTTAGTGTATGGCCTGTGTCAACTGAATGGGTCACATGGGATCTGTTTCTTTGTAGCCATAATAAAGTCTGTTCTGACCACACACTCATAGGATTTCAAAGGATCAAATGTGAAAATGTTAAACCATCTTGAAATCTCAAAATGTTGAATAAATAAGAGAATAATAATTATTATCACTCAGCTGTTCACCTTTTAAAACAACTGAAAATAAAACTTGAAATAATGTCAGGCATTCATTTGAGGGTTTTCATCTGATCGTGAAAACAATACCACTGAGAAATGTTTGGATATTGAACGTGGTTTGGTATTTTGGAGATGTTTAATGTGCCTTCGCCTTTATCTTATTTCAGAACTGTTCAACCTGAACTGAAATCCCTTGCGGTGGGTTTCCATTCACTAACTATACGAGCATTAGGTATGCTAAATATACAGATTAAAAATTTAAGATATAAATTTTCATACCAAAGCTCACAGACTGGGTGTAACTAATTTCCAGTCATAAGAAATTTTTCAATGTATAATTAAAAATAATTGCTATTTTTTTGTGGTAAATAAAAAAAATGAGAGGAAAACTAAGTAACTTAAAAGAGACTTTGATCATTAATTCTAGTTAAAGTCAATCTTTAAGTAGAACAAGAAGACATAATATTTGTTTTACGCTCTTTCTAACACAAAGATAGGTGATGTCCAAAGTTTTTCTACTTTCAGACTTAGGAATATTACTTCCCATAGGCAGAGTGGAGGGCCTTCTACATAAAGAGGGTAATGCCCAAAACTGCTTGGAAGGCCTGGGAATCCGGTCAGGTTGAGATTGTGTGAAACAAGCAGACTTTCCTGCCCCGCTTCCCACTGCCCACTTCTCTAAGGCTGGGAAAGCTAATCTTTGTCAGAAGTTAAAAATGCAAGAGGAAATGGGAACTAGACTGTAGAACTGAGCATCTTGGACTAAGGGAGTGTTCTGAATGAAAGAAAGCTCAGGATATCGTGCTTTTTGTTGTTAAACAGTAGGGCCATAGACTTCAGAGGTAAGAGTTCTATTTCTAAATATTCAAATGAGGTGATTAGTACAAGATTTAGGAAATCATCGTTTTTCCCTTGTCATTTGCTGTTTATTCCACAGAGATTTCTGTAGTTAGCACAATAACTTTTAACCTAACTCCTGTGCATGCCCCTTTGTAAGACGTATTAACAATAATATGCTTATTCCTGGGAAGTAGGAAAAGAGCATCATTCATCTAGGGATTGGGGTAGAAGACTGACCATGGCTTGGAGGCAACCACTGATGGCAGAAGGAAAAGGAAGTGGGAGGGGTCAATTCCTGGGATCCTTGCAAGCAAAAGAAAGAAGCATAACTCTTTGGCTAAGTGCATTGGAGAAGTTGTCCAAGAAGTATATTTGGGAGAAGGCCACAGATCCTCAAAGGTAAAAGAGGAAATATAAAGGGCTTGGAGAGAAGAAGATGGAGGTGCTGCAGGATTCCACTCTCATTGTCATCCCAGCCTTCTCTTCTGTCCTCCAATCTTGCAGCTCTGCCTGTCTGGCAGTTCCCTGCCTCCAGATACAATGGAGATGCCTCTCTCCTAGAAGCTAGGCCACAGAAGCTAGCAGATGAAAATAGAATGTGGGGATCTAGGACTCCCCCTTAGATGCTAAAATAAGACCAAGACTAGAGGAAATTCTTCTAGTGACGTAAAAGAGAAAGAAAGGAATTTTGCCATCCTAAATATGAGCTTACTATTTTGATATGTCCAATGTATGGCACAGTAAAACCTAACTACTTTTTGGAAATAATACATACTGACTAGTAGACTTTCGATTCACAAAAAATTGTCTTGAATATAACACATGCATAAGTTGTGGGAGGTCTATAGAGCATATTAAACTGAAAATGATATTTGGAAAATTATTTGAAGTTTTAAAATTCTAGTAATGACTTAAGTTGGCTACCTAAAACATTTAATGAATTAAGTTTGGTCAAACCAGTGGTATTGTATTTTTCATTTTTCAAAGGGTGGCTGTGATTTGTGCAAAGCTGTAAATTTCTCACCCATTTTCTTAGTACCAGTTTTTCTCAGATATGTTTGGCCCCAGACACCAGTATTTTGTCATCTCAGATTTCTCACTCTCAGAAAAATTGAGACTTAGAAATAAATGAAATCAATATAATTTTGAAATATGGATCACTACCATTTTTTACATAACAAAATAAAAATTGAAAGTCATTCATTGAAATACAAAAAGAATGAAGTGAAATCATGACCACTTCAGATCTACCCTATGGAATATAGATCTCTACCAGCATGTCTCTAAAGTTTTGGTCAAACTACCAATGCTTAGAACTAGGAGTGTATCTCAGAGTTTATTAAAATAGCAGTAAGCAAATGGGTACTTCCGCTATAAGGCAACATATGTGTTTCTAAAAAGCCTTGCATTCTGAAAAATCATATGCTACAGATAAAAATTTGGTTAGGCACAGACCACTAGATGCCCAGGTATCATTGTGATTAGAACATTAACAGAAACAAAATTCAGCCACAGGCCCTAGCTTGGACAAACCACGCTGCTTCGAGGAAGTATTAAAAATGCACACAATCAATGGAGAGAAAATGCAAGATTGTGCGCTCTCATGACACCAAAAAGGTGGAAGTGGAGCTCTGAGCCAAGAAAGAAGGATAACCTGCCAAAAGCCTAGTATTCTGTGAAGCTGGGCCTGTATTTCTCTGGGGGAGGAAGTGCTAGCTTTCTTAAAAATGGGGTTGAAAACTCTCCTGACTTTGCATTAGTTGAGCTGAGAGGTTTTTCCTTTCTCTGTGAAGTTATAATTCTACCCCCACACTTCCAGCTCTCCTTGCCTAGGAGAAGTATATATGAACCAACATGACTTCTATGTTTTACTGACAACGTTCTCTTTTTTGCCACTTAGGCTTAAGTTGGTAATTATAAGAAGAACAGAGCATATGGGCATTTAATGTCCCCTCTTCTCTTCCCTATGTGTGTTGCCAGGGTGAGGGAGATAGCGGATATCTATGCTACTATATGTATTGTGAGCCTTTGAGATTCCTAATAGTCTCAATTCTTGAGTAAATTTAGGTCAAAACAATGGAATTTCAACTTCTACTTAATCTAAAATGTATCAAAGTGGAATATCACCCAGTTATGTTTGAAACCTACTCCTTGGATTGACCTTTTCTCATCTCATGTTGCAGGAGGAATTCCAGCTCCTATATATTTTGGGGCTCTGATTGATAGAGCATGTATGAAATGGTCAACCAGCAGCTGTGGGAACCAAGGGTCTTGCAGGATATATGATTCCACATTATACGGGTAAGTTGTCATAAATATATTTTATTAATTGATTTTTCCTTTGACTATATTAATTCTTAAAAGATGAAATGCTGTTTTCAGTATAATAATAATTATAGCCACCCTTTAATGAATTTTGCATTCAGTATTGTATCAGGCAACATGGTATCTCATTTTAATACTCTTAGAAACTGCAGGAGATGGATATTTTTCTCCTTTTTCCTTAAATATGAAAAAACAAAGACTCAAAGAGAATGAGTAACTTGTTCAAAATCATATAGCTAATAACAAAAAAGATCTGGGATTTGTACCAAAATGTTTTGTTGTTTCTAAAATCTCTCCTAATACTAAAAAAACTATTCAATGACCTCTGGCTTCTCTAAGAAGACACAGAATGATGCTGGGGGTGTGGTTGTAGATCAATGGGAAAAAAAGAAAAAAAATGTTTCTATATTTTTCTGTTCATAGGGAAATAACTGGATGGTTATCTAGAAAAGAAATACTTGCAAAGGTACCCTAACCTTAAAAAAATTAATTGGAGATTAATCAAACACACAAATTTACAATATGAAACTTCAAGTATTAGAAAAAATTGTGGCAGAAATACTTTTAATTATCTATGAAGTAGGAATGTGTTTCTCAGTATGACCTAAAACCCTAAAACCACGGTAGAAAAAAAATGATTAAATATTTTTTAAAACTATGTCACAAAACTTAAGCAAAGTTCAAAGACAAAAGATAAACTGGAAAAAGAACTTGTAACTTATAACCAGACACAAGGCGAATGTCCTGCATATATAAAGAGCTCTTTAAAAAATAAACAATACCAATGCTGGCAAAGATGTGGAACAACAGGAAATCATTTTCAGTGCTGGTGGGAATGCAAAATGATTTAGTCACTTTGGAAGAGTCTGACAGTTTCTGAAAAAACTAAACATAGTCTTGCTATATGGTCAAGTAATTGTGCTCCTAGGTGTTGACCCAAATAAGTTTAAAACTTATGCCCACACAAAAATCTGCACATGAATGTTTATAGCAACTTTATTTATAAGTGTCAAAAAAATGAAGCAACTGAAATGGTCTTCCATGGTAAATGGAAAAACAAACCGTGATACATTCATACAACAGAATACTCTTCAACAATAAAAAGAAATGAGCTATCAAGCTACAGAAAGACAAGGCAGAATCTCAAATGCACATTGCTACATGAAGAAAAGCAGTCTGAAAAAGCTATATACTGTATGATTCCAACTAGATGACCTTCTGTCATGAAGTTTGCACCATCCCAACCAGCTACAAGTAATTAACACTCTTAGAACTCTTAACACTTTGAAGCTCACTCATGGCCTTTATCACTTTCCTTTTGGTTAGTTGTGTTCATTGCCTAAAATACTTTGCAAGTAATTGCCTCAAGATTGTCTGAAGTGGAATTTTTAAGAAGAGCAGTGTGTTCCCCAATGAAGAAACAGCAAAAAGTTAAATAGTCATCTTATGATTTTTTTGGATTTAATATTTTGTGGTAACCAGATAATTGTTCATTGATTTTATCTAACAAAGACAAATAATATAATCAATTCCTACTCCAAGGAGTGGAAATCTACATTATGATATCAATCCTAAATCTAAACCCAGTTTATTCAAGTTTTCTCAGCAACAGTCACATAACCAGAAGTGCACAGTAATTTTTCTATTTTCAATGGAAATTCTGAAAACTTAACATTGGGATAGAACTACTTGACATAACCCAAGGATGAGACAAATATACTTGATGTTTTAAAATATTTTTTTCATTATTTTTGGTACACCACAACCTTATGTTGTAATTTTAATAAATTTAAGCCTAAACAGCTCAAAATTATATAATTCCATTCACCTTCAATTAAATCTAATAATTGTTCAATGGTTTTTGTTTTGTTTTGTTTTTTGCATAAAGCTTTTCTACATTTACTTAACAATGTCATTAGACCATTGAGTGCTTCCTAAGCTACTGGGTCAGTGGTTTTCAATCTTTTTTGCTCTTTATAATCACCTGAGGAGGAAACAATACAAATTTCTGTGTCCCATCTTCAGAAATTTTTATTTAATTGCTCAGGGGGCTGTGTGACCTGGGCATAGGATTTTTAAAATCTCCTTGGATGATTTTAATGTGCAACCAAAGCTAAGAATCACAAGAATTGACCATGTGTGCTAGGTAATTTAATATATTTTCATTAAAACTTCCAGTAGGCCACATGACAGCAGTTGTGGACTGTATTTAGCCTATAAACTAAACTTTGGCTCCTATCTATAGGGATTCAGTTTGGTGATCTCACAGTCAATTCATTTCCTTTATAATCTGTTTCCATTACACATGAACTAATCTGCCTTTGAGAAAGCTAAACATCCCAAATATACCTTACTTTTATGGAAAACATTGGGTAGATCATTAATCACCCTTAGTTTCTGTGGCTTAATATTCCTTTTAAAATAATTTAAAATCCCCCTCTGTGTCAATAAAATAAATTACTAGAATTGCTACCTTAATATTTTTACATATAATTTCAAACATCATTTTTTTAAGGTTTTCTGCATACTGGAGAGCAACACTATAAATTGTTCCAAATACTTTAACATGAAAATTGAGTTTTTTCTCTTTTCACAGAAATACCTTCACGGGCTTGACTGAGAGCTTAAGATTTTCAGCACTTATTTTATTTGTTGTATTAATTTCCACTATGAAGAAAATATATCAAGGAAAAGATACCAAGGCATCAGAAAATGGAAGAAAAGACACGAATGAAGCAAACTTAGAATCCTTAAATAATGATGGATATTTTGTACCTTCTGCCAAAACAGACAATGAAACACATATGTAATTGGAGAAAAAAAATTAGGTTGTTGTGTTTCAAACCAACACTGTATTAATTTAGTAGGATGGTATTTTGAGTAGTTCTTGGTCTTTCACTAACAGTTCTCCCACACTTATGATGGTACAGTAAATCACCTATGAATTTATAATAATGAAATAGACTATAAATGAAAAGGAATGACAGTATGCATTGCTTAGGGTATGGCTATGCATTTGAAATGAAGATTAAGACACATGATCCATACAAATTTAAAGTGAGAACTATGGTCAGTATATAATAAAAGAAAAAATATTTGCTCAAGTAATTATAACTCAATAAAACCACTGACTAGAAAATAGAGGGGGAAAGGGAGGAGAGAAATTAATAAACTAAATAAGGAGAGAAGCCTAATACCTTTTTTTAAGCCAGTTTGGCCCATGTTACTCAAACATGAAGTTAGTATATAGAACCTTTATACTATGATGACATCTGTCATTCATGTATTAAGTCATGTCTTTCACAGACCTTGTTAATTCATAATTTGAAATTGCATTCAACTAGGGGCCCATGATGCATCTTCTTCCAACCTTCCATTAAAATACTGCTGGAGAAACAGAGATAATTCAGAATTTGCAAGCTATGATTGTCAAACAACATATTACGGAATGTGTTAAGTTTCTTTCAGGACCATGGAAGTGGATTAAGAAAACTGACATTAACTTGAGAAAGCAAAGCCCATTTAAAAGATGTGTCTTCATTCCATTTGTCTGCTTCCTGGAAGACATTGTGTCTGTACAAGATAATTTACCAGCTGTTTCTCAATTGCATATTTGTGTGTGTGTGTGTTGTTTTTGGTGCTCGAAGAGAAAGTTTTCACATCCCCAGAAATAGGACAAGAGGAGAGTGGATGAGAACAAATATTTGAATATTGTATTTGTTAGATGACAACAGCTTTATACTGAATGCTAAAACTTGTAGTTTTTATACTCATTAGGTTAAAAGACATTTTCTGGCATTAGAATAACCTGTGAAACTTTTTGTTTTAAAAAAAATCAATTGTGCACCCAACCCAGAGATTCTGATTCAAAACATTTGTCATGCAGCCTGGACATCTCCTTAAAAAAAAAAGAAATCTGTATAGCGACCCTGATAAAGAGATACAGAAAAGAAAGCCACAAATAGGAGAAGATATTCTTGAGTATAGCAAAGTCACAAAATATGAATGCTTGCTAGAATCTGAGAATTAGCCTAGATGTTATACATATTATTAAACTATTCTCAAGCTGTAGCCCTGAGAAAGGATTCATTACCCCCACAAGCAGAGATTTGGAAAAACCACCAACATGCTAGGTTACTATATTACAAGTCTGATGAGATCTTATCTCAGAAAATAGAGAAAAATTTGAGGCTGTTTTTTAAAACATTGCAAAAAAAAGGCAACATCTTGAATATTTATCTATTCAACAATTATTGAGTATTAAATATCTTTCAGGCAAAATGAAATAAAGAAAGGATGTTATCTCATGGAGCTTACACTTTAAAGGAAAGAAAATTAAATTAAATAATTAAATGTTATAAAATGATACAAATTAAAAGAATAAATTTATATTTTTAAATGTGATATGTATGGTGAAAGAAAAGAACATTAAAACATATGCCTCAGATTATTTGATCTAATTCAGAATCCAAGAATCCAGAATAAATATTAATCCTTAATTCAATGGCATTTATTAAACAGGCATACAAATCCTAGGGGGAAAAAAGGGGGGGTGGGGATTCAACAGACATATGAGTAAGATAAAGTTTGTAAAGATGCAAAACAATACAAGAGTGTAATTAAAACACATATTGGATAAGGTTAAAAGAAGACAATGGCCAAAAAAACAAATCAGTGATAAAGAAGTTACATTTGGAAATCTGAAAATGTGGAGGAAAAAGATAGATAAATTATGAAAAAGGTAGATGATTTAGAGGACAAACTAAAGCATCAAACTAGGAAATCTGATATTTTTGAAGAGGAAATCAGATTTAGAAAAGAAGCGTTAAAGATTTAGTTGCAGAATGCCTTCCTGCTATGAAGAAAGACTTGAGTATACAGCCTGAAGACTATTTGCACCATGTCTTCATATTCCCATCCATTTTCATTCAGTGGGCCTTTGACTATGATGTTCCTTCCTCCAGAAATGCTCTTTTTTTCCACTGAATTAACTGCTTCTCAGCATTCAGATATAGGCTCAATCACCATTCCGTCAATGTCTCTGACTTCTTCACTGCTTAAAAATCCTCCAGTTATATTTGTAGCAACATAGCACTTAGAGAAATAGTAATTTTATATTTATTTGTGATTATTTGTTAACTATTGGTCTTGCCCACCAGTCGTAAGCTCTAGGAAGGTAGAAATTGAACACATTTTACCTATTTTATTCCCTGCATTCAGCTTGGTGGCTGACACAGAGCAGATGCTTTATCAGTTATTTTTGAATGAATGAATGAAAGAATGAATAAGTGAACTCCAAAAATTCCAGTCATAAAATTATGAGTGTTATAAATAAGAACTGAAAACAACATCATGCAAAAAATTTAAGGCTGCATTAAGGTAACTGGATAGAGAGTGAGGGCTTCAGATGTTTTGAAGATTTTCTTCACTATTTTAAAATGAAAAAATATATTTTAACATGTTAAAAAGTGTCTTTTGACTGCCATCTATGTGCTAAGCACAGGAAATAAAAGCATTTATGAAACAGAGTCTTTGTTCTTTGGGAGCCCACAAAAGTGGTGGAAAAATAGGCATTTAAACATATATACTATAATAAATACGATTATAGAATAAAAATGTCCATGTCTCTCCACAGGGACCATCCCCATTTCCTTGTTTCAATCTCAACATCTGTATTTCTGGAGATTTTACCAAAACAAAATTAATGAGAATTCATTATAAAAAAAATCCAATTTGAAGATCATTATGCAAGCAGTGTACTTTTAGCAGCACTGTGGAGCATTCCTGACCACTAACCCATAGATAGATCTTTTACTTTAAACCAATCTCCAATGTTAAACTCAAGGTTGCCCCAAATTCTGTCATTAGAAATCTATTCTTTTGAATTAAGACTTTGTCTCCTTTCGAATTGGAAGAGATTACATATTATCAGTCATTTTACAGTGTGAGTGAAATTCCTATCTTTTTTAAGAATCAGGTTTTTGATAGTGGAAATGAAGAACATGAGGATATTCAGAGAATAAGAGAAAAGTCACAGGAAAGCAAGATTATAAACACCAAAATATCTTTTGTCTCTGTGTAGGATTGATATTAATAATGGTTCTATATATTTAAACCTTATGCAAAAATTTTACTTTTAGTCACACCCATTTAAAAATGTCTTTTTTTTTTTAAGAGAGAGGAGAAAGTGAGCAGGGGGAGGAGCAGAGGGAAAGGGGAAAGAGAATTCCAACCAGACTCCCCACTGAGTACAGAGCCAGAAGTGGGGCTTGATCTCATGACTCTGAGATCATGACCTGAGCCAAAATAAAGAGTAGGATGCTTTACTGACTGAGCCACCCAGGTGCCCCTAAAAATTGTCTTCATTTGTTTAATAATCCTGTCTAATCATTTGTCTAATTAATCTGTTCAATATCTGAGCTTGATTCTGAGATTGATTTGTCTACTCAGACTGTGTTTTGTTTGGTTTTGTTGTGTCTCATAATTTTTTGTTGAAGGCCATAAATGTAATATAGGACAGTCAATACTGAGGTAAATATTTTCTACACCTGTAAATGGGTGCATCATTCCTTCTGCTAGGACTGTAGGGTGGAGTTTGTATAAAGAGTAGAGCTGGGTTTGAAGTTTGTTGTTGCTATAGTTGCCCTCAATGTACAAAGGACTTCAAATTCCTCTAGGGAGACCTTGTGTTTAGAGTTCTACTCCCTATATAGATTTGGTTCTTCCTTTGCCCTGTTACCCCAAAACAATCAGTCTCTTGCAGGTCTCCCAACTATATTCCACTCTTACTTTTACCAGATGCTTGTTACCATGGCGAGGTGAGGAGAGAGACTGAGGCAGGTTCTGTGAACCCGGGTCTTGGGGGTGACTTGCCCCTCCCACAGGAGTGAAACTTGTCTTTCTTGCTTCCCTTCCCAACTGCAGGAGTTTTCATCAGTACCCCTAAGCTACAGTTTTCATTGCCCTTCCCCACTGGAGAGAAAGGCTGTTGTTACTTAGAGGAAGAAGGAGATACTCAGGTAGAGTTTGAACAGTGGCTACTGTTTTCCCCCAGCCAGCACCACTGGTGCTTTGTCAAGACTCTCTCTAATCTTCTCTGACCTGGTGGGGCTCGTGGAGGAATCACCTGCAAGAGGTGTAAACCCCCTTCTGTCAGCCAGCTTCTCATGCCAACCCACACTTGATCATTAAACATTTCTAGCTGTATCATTTTACTAACTTATATGGCATTGAGTGGCTTCTGCCCCAAGTGAGTAAATATTCAAATTCTGTTTCTTCCTGAAGGAGCCCCTCCTCCAGGTTTCCAGTTAGCTGCTTGTCCAATTATATTTGTTCATTGATGGGTTTGGGAAAAGTTATGGTTTGCATTTTCTTATTTTAAGGTTGTGGGTACAACAACTTTCCTGCTCTGTGCATGCCTGAAATGAAACTGGAAGTCTCACTTTTATTCCTTTGACATAAAAGAAAATGTGTTTCAATTAACTATGAATTTTCAAGGCCGCTTTGGATGATTTGAGAGTATTTCTCTTCCTTTTCTTCATGTGATTCTCATCAATAGATTCTCCAATAACTAGTAACTTATCTATTTGGTAAACAATTCTCAGTGCATCTACCATCCTGAGATATATCTTTTCTAAAGTAACTCATTCCAGCCCAAGTTATCAGGCAATAAGGCATTTATTTTGTTTCTATTGAGCTCCTTCTATCTTCTCAGTAATTTTTTTCTTTTAAAAGAATTAGGGGCACCTGGGTGGCTCAGACGGTTAGGCGTCTGCTTTTGGCTCGGGTCATGATCCCAGGGTCCTGGGATCGAGCCCCGCATCTGGCTCCCTGCTCCATGGGAGGCCTGCTTCTCCCTCTCCCACTCTCCCTGCTTGTATTCCCTCTCGCTATCTCTCTCTCTCTGTCAAATAAATAAAATCTTTAAAAAAATTTAAAAAAAATTAAAAAAAATAGGGCCTGATTTTATTAACTCAAATATTTATCCCTAGCACCTATGCATAAAGAGTTCTAGTAATGTCCTAGCAATATCTCCCATATTCTTAATATGATCTTTTCATTAATATGAGGTCTCTAAACAATTGATAAGGAAAATAACAAATAGTGCCATCAAGGATGAAGGTGGAAGAAAAGGTGTAATCTTGCAAATGTATCTGATATTTTGAATGACTGCACAAACATATCCAATGTGGTCAACTTGTTAGAAGTTATTAGGTGTATACTACACCAGGCCTGCAAGTGATTTTTCTTCCATGTCTAAAAGAAACATACAGAATTAAGAAAACAACGAGGTTTTCCACTCATGTGAAAGCCACCTAAGTATTTTTTCCACATATTAGCCTGTTCTAAGAAATTTAGAACAAGAGGTATATCTTTACCGATAGGAGGAAGGTAGCTCTTTCTCCCCCCCCACCCCCCGCCCACTGCCGTCCTTTCCTCCCTGTCAAGTAAATTATGTCACTGTCATTTACTTATCAAAAATGATATTGGTGAAAGAATTTTGAATGTACCAAGCTTGACATGTCATTGGGATCAGTTAAATTATAATTTTATTTGGAAGTTGACTTCAACAGGAATCATACACATCTCAGTGCTACAAGAGTCTTGTGATTTTCTTTTATTTTGTGTTTAAGTAACATTTGTTTAAATTTTTCTTAGGGCCAATCGCAAAAAGATTTCATACTTAGCCTTTATCATCCACCAGGCTTTACTTCAATAGCACTGTTTCTAACAGAGCTCTGGGCACTACTTGGGCCATTTCTATAATTTATGTCTTATATGAGTTGTGTATATACATATATTAGCCAGGCTGTAACATTGAGAAAAAGTAGAAGTAAAGTAAATGCATTGGTTAGAAACATAGAAACAATCTATTCAGACGGTTGTTTGTTGGATCAACAAATCTCTTGAGTAATAAGTTTAAAAATTAGATACACAAATCATAAATTTTAAAATCACTTCCAGGATTTCCTGCATTTGTTATATGGTTGAACAAACTGAAAAACATTTTAAATGTTTAGTCAATAAAATAAACTCTTTGTGTCTATCTAGAGCAGGAGATAATATGAAATAAGTTTCAAGGCCATAATGTTCTGTAATAGCATTTATTAATATAACCCTAGACATATGTAAACTTAGTGTGAAAATATAATTGGCAATATGCATCTACTGTCTAAATATATGTTATTCCAATATCATATTCACTTTCCAAAATTTATCAAATTTTCAATTGTGTTTTTCCCCTTTTCTCCTCCCTTCCTATCCCTTCTCTTTTCTTCCTTTAGCCTTGTCTTTTTTT